CATGCAGCCAGCTGGGAGCCCCGCACACCAGAGGCAAATGCCAAGTCTATCATAAGATCAACTCAACATGCATCTCCACTGTGCTGGTGCTTCCACCCAACAGCTGAAAATCAAATCTGTGAAGAGTCCATATGCCGAGTTCCGATCAAATTGCCAGTTTTCCCTTCTCTTATCTGCTTCTGACCCTGTTATTTCAAGAGATGTGATGGATGCAGCAGAAGTTACGCTTTTATCAGGCAGTCAAACTGACAGAGACTCACTAAATTAATGGCCAAGCAATGACTATGATGTTCTGTGGCTGATCTGCTGCACACAAGAAGCCAGGGCATTTCATGCAGTAGTCCCTGAATCTAGCGCAGTGATTTTGGTGAAGCTAAAGCACCTTTCAGAAAGGCTCTCTGGTTACAGAAGGCAAAAGCTGAGTGTGTACCTGCAGGCGAGTCCGCGGGCTCCAGCAGTTGCCTGGTAACTCACTGAGCAGCAAGGCTCGATCTTGAGCCTGAGACCTGGGTAACAAAAGGCTAAAGCATCCCTTAATTAGCTGTTCAATGGACAGCTACTTCTGCCTTACTCCTCCCGCCCAACTACAACTCCTAACTCATTATAACCACGAACCTTGAGGGCTGCCCATGGGTCAGCAATAAAAGTCTGAGTGTGATGTTTGGCTGAGCATCTGGTTATCCCCAGAGGACTCCATCAATTAGCAAGGAACCAGCCCACCAAAGGGTCTGAGGCAAGTGAAAGAGAGATGTTCCTGCCAATATCAGCTTCAAAGAAGTCATTCTGATGTCAGAAATTAATTATCACCAGGAATATTTTCTTTCTTAGCTGTCAAGACGAAACACAACTAATTGGACAACAAAGCACAGCTAGATTGAGCAGCAACAGAGACACAAACCAAATAAATGGGTGCTGGATTCATGCACTCATCTTCTGCTCTCACTGTTTCACCAATGTCAGAGCCAGAGGCTGGGCCCACAGGACACATTAACAAAACTCTGCACTGCCTTCAGCAGGGTAAGATATGCCCAACAAAGCACAGCCCAGCTCAGCATTTACCAGCAGAGCTTGGGCCATCCTTACCAAAGCCTGTTGAGCCATGGGGGTTTGTGAGAGCAGTCTGCAGGTGTATTCTGCTCTCACTGTTTCACCAATGTCAGAGCCAGAGGCTGGGCCCACAGGACACATTAACAAAACTCTGCACTGCCTTCAGCAGGGTAAGATATGCCCAACAAAGCACAGCCCAGCTCAGCATTTACCAGCAGAGCTTGGGCCATCCTTACCAAAGCCTGTTGAGCCATGGGGGTTTGTGAGAGCAGTCTGCAGGTGTAAAAAAAAAAAGCTGCTAGTCCAAAGGTGGCTCTACGTGGGCTTTTGGCTGCCTCGTGTATTGTCAACCTGAAAAAGAGGAGCAAGGAGAACCTTCCCTTTCCTGCCCAGCCTCGAGAGAGGAGGCACAGCTCAGAGACCAGCTTAATGGAGAAAGGCAGTGAAGTCACCCCAAAGCTGGTGTCCTTTGGCTCAGGCCCTTCTCAGAGTTTCTGCTGATGGGGGGAACCAACCATCTCTCGTATGTCCAGGGTGGGAACTGAACAGAGATCCCTCAGCTCACTTCCTCTCTGCTACCAAGCAGCTGGCAGACAGCTACAGGCTTTCAGACCGTTTGCAAACCTAAAATCTCCTTCTATGTCAGCTGTAAAACTGTGGGCGAGAAGTTGGCTTACTCCTCTTTTCCACCCCTCTCCCTTTCCTCCACTCCTTTTCTCTTGAGGAAAAAAAAAAGAAAAAAAAAAAAAAGAAGCTTTTGGCAGCTGCTACTTACAGCGAGAAAAAATAAAATACATCCCAACCCTACGTTTTGCTCATTTTCAGTCTCTATAGCAACAGAACACAGTTGGCCAAAGCAATTATCCTGCCTCTGGCTGTTGAGATGTTTTAAAGGTGTTACAAAAATGAGAAGTTGTGGGAATACAGTGAGTGTGATCGCAGTAACATTTGCATTTAATTGCTGAGAGACACTTTGACTTCACTTCCAAATGAACACCATTAAGTGCACAAATGCAAGATTGCTTAAAAAGACTGATGGAGAAAGAGGGAAGCAGCTCCAGCTCCTCCTCTACTGGCTGCATTTGTCTCACCATGGACTCTGAACCAGTCCCACCCAGTTACAGCCTCCACAGTCTCTGTTCATTACTTGTTTCTTCATGGTCTAGCTATACAATATACATTCTTAGGCAACACACTGTGTCTCTTACCCACCACACCAACTTCTCCATGTTTTTGCCACACATTACCCTTTTGGAGGTATTCTGTCATTCTATTTTAAACCTGGATCTTTCCTCTGATCCCTTACACCCCACAACCGCCCCCCTCAATTGATTCACCACTAATAAAAAGGCAGCAACAAGCATCTGGAGGTAGAGGATTCCTCAATTTAGCTTCACCAGCAGAGAAAACATGTCCTGTAGCTAAACACTCACACTAACTGGTGTGGCAAGAAAGCTGACAAAGTATTTTCAAGCCAAAAGATGCTGCCAAAGCCTATTTTGAGGGCCCCACCCCCTGGACAATGAGATGGCTTCAACTTCTGGCCCATTTGGCTCTCACAGCTGAGCTGACTTGCTCAGCCTGCGGTGCCCACAAAACCACAATCCCAGGGATGCTGTCTGGGTCCTCGCAAACAAATTCAGTAGGTGTGAAAAAAAAAAAAAATCAAAACCCTGTCTCACCTAGTTTACCTTATCTTCATTGGGATCCGTTACACGGTCTAATCCATACTCTAGGACGTCTAGCATGCCGGGCTGTTATGAACAAAAAACATCAATAGCTTTGAAACTCATTTGTTTTAAAGTTTGTGGTTCACACAAATACATGAGGTGAACCTTGAGCCCCGAAGGGCTCCACTGCCAGCAGCTCCCAACCAGCAGTGCCCCAGGGGAGCTCTGCCACCCGAATCTGGCAACGCTCCCCTCCGAGCATGGGTGCTACAGCTGGACCTCCCTCCCTTGCACCTTTGAGAGCAACCAAGTAGAAAGGTGCGGACTCAGGGCAGGCCTGGGCTGACCCCTTCCCCGAGGGGAAGCGACAGGGGGCACAGCCCAGAGGCCATGCCCATAGCCATGCCTTTAGCAAGCAGGAGTTTGTCCCAGGTGGCTGCAGAGAGGGCACCACCGAGGCACTGAAGTCACAGGTTGACATCTTCTACTTACAGGAGTTCGGTTCACAAGCCAGTAGGCTCTCTCCTGGCAGTCCAGGGCGTACCTGTCCGCCTTCTTCCGCTCCTTCCCTGCCCTGCAAAGCCAAGAACAGGATTTAACTCTGCCAGGGGAATTCACAAATTTTGCTGTCCTAAAACCAGTGGGACGAGAAAAGGGGCACACCTCCAGTCTCTCCTGCCCCATGGGTCCCAGCCTGACTATGTGACACTCTGATGCAGCCTCCTGACCAAATTTTATCCCAGCTAATTCTGGACTGCAGATCATGCTGTCCACATGGCGACACATGACTGCAGCTTTTGAGAAATCATCGTCTTCCTGAGCTCAGCTGGGAGCAGACACATCCTCTTCTGATTAGACAGACGGCCCCTTGGTAGAGTTTTACGCCAACAACTCGCTACTTGCGGTCAGTCCTGCTGCCTCATGTTTATCCATCTCTGATGTCCCCAGGCAGTATTTGAGGACTGCCATGCAGAGGTACATCCCAAACACGTTTCACCCCCATCTTTCAGTAAAGGGGGTCAATTCTCACAGAAATTATTTCAAAACGGGGCCAAGCAGCGTTCCCAGGCACTAAAACCCAAATCACCTCCACTATTAAACAGAAGAAGCACCAGCATGGTTTGGGCTTGGACCAACTAATTCTTTCCCAGGCAAGTCTTGGGCACAATTTGGGACTTAGCATGGGCAACGGAGCATTCCCAAAAGGCTGTTTGCATGTGGCCACCCTGCTGTGGTTAACAGGGTGGATGCGGGCTGTTCTGCACCAGTCTGCCCCAGCATCATCATCAAACAGCCTCAGACGTGTTTAATCTACTAGTTCAGACACAGTCTCAGTATCTAACTCTAAAACTGCATTTGGCATCTCTTAGCCCAAGTCTGACCTCAATTTACAAGAACAACAGTCTCGTGTTTAATGAGACACTTATCTGATGAGCTGTATTCTGACGACTTGGCTACCAGCCCAGTGAAGACAGAAACGCTGCTGAACAGCAGAGGCAGTGCCTGCCACGCTGGGAGGTAAAAAAGGTAAAAGGAATCTACAGAAGCAGGAAAGATCCTATCTCCAAAGGAGTAATCCCATCTCATACTCACTAATTTTCCTGGGAATTTGAAGGATTCAGCTCCTAAAATCAAGTCATTTTGGCTGGGTGCCTAAGTATGCACTTCAGAGTTTTCTCCAGAAGTCCCTGCTGGAAACATTTACTGCTTCTTGGTTCAGGCCACTCAGTTCAGCTGTGACACATGTGCCAGCAATAATGGAACCAGACTAATAACAGGTCCTGAGTCCAGTGGCCTGATCCACAAATGCTCACGGACAACCTTGAGCTAAAAGCAGCTGTCTCTAATGAGGACTTGCACTCGCTGCAGCATCCGACCTCGGCTTCTTCACAAACCACACTGACTCCATGCCTTTGACGGACAAATGCCAGGCAGGGAGAGAAACACAGGTGCAGAGGGCAAGGGTGAGGCTTGGCAAGCGGGTGCCCAGTCGTTTGAAAACGCCTGGAATCCTTCACTCCCAAAGCATGAAGTTAACAGAGTTTACTTGTTAAACGGAGGAACCCCAGGCTGGTACGAAAGGCAGGTTTGTTTCACAACCTTGAGGGGAACTTGCAAGTCATTTTAAAGCTGCAGTTTATGTTTTTAAACTGGAGTTTAACTGCGCATCAAGACAGTGCAGCTCTGCCTCCTCACACCCTCCCCAATGATGCGAATAAGGGAACGCAAGTCAACTCACTTATACTGCTCTTTGGCCTGCATAATAACAAAATCCCACTTGTAGTTTATTTTCTGATTGAGCATGTTGTAATGTTCCTGGAATAAAAATAAAAAAGCGGTTACTGTGAAAATTCTGGACAAGGCACTCCCATGCTAGGGTTTCTTGACTCTCCATAGCTCAACTAGGCCAGGCTGGCAACCAAGCCAAGAAATCCGGATTGTTCTGAATGGAATTACAAGAATTGCAACAGTGCAAAAGTACCACTGCAAGTAGAGCAATTACCCTGTTAAAATTATCATCGACTTCAGAGTATTTTCCTGTACTGGTCACTTTTTCACTTCCAAAATTTTGGCTTTTGACACTGCTGCAGTAACACCTCGTGCAATTGAAGAGGTGATTTTTTTGCCACGCTTCATTCATTAGCAACAGAGGGTTAAAGCTACAGCAAATGAGAGGCTTGCAATGGAACAAGCACGGCATCTCCTTACCTTTTCATATTCCTCTAAAATCCCTTTCCTCTTAATGTTCTTCTTTGCTAGGTAAATTGCTGCAGAGGGAGAAGCAAATAAGCACTCAGTTACACTTAGACCAACAAATCCAAGAATAATTAAAAATTTACCCACACGACAAACACAGGAATCATTATGTGTTAGGCATGGGCTTCCTTAGGCATGGGCTCCAAGCTCAAAAATCTCATGGAAGAAAAGTTAACTTGGTGTTTTCACTTCACTTTGTCACTGATGCTTTGTGAGGCAGTGGCCAGGCTGAGAGCAGCCACGCAGAACTGGCAAAGTGTGCCTTCTGCCAGCCATCAGTCCTCCTTTGGGAATTCAGCCAGGGTTTCACAGGTCAAAGGATGCTTGACCAAATCTCTAAGATACTGAGGTTCTTCAGAGTTTGACCTCCAAGTTTTCAAAACACGGGCCATCATTTCATTACAAGTCCTATTAAAACCAGTCCAATCTAAAATGGGCTTTTTTATTTCTCCAGAAGATCTACAGCATAATGCAGACAAAAGCCAGCGGACAATCTTGGCTTAAACAAATCAGTCTTTGAACTGCACAGCCCACAGGAGCAAACCAAGGTGATCAGCTCAAGTTTCGTGACCAGCCCTATAATAAAAAGCATTACAACGGCAACAAAAAATTGATATGGAAAGAGCCATCAGGAGATACTGGGAGCCACTGCACATTATACAAAGAAAGAACTACCTCTGAATGCAGGGCCTGATCCAAATCTACAGGAAGACAGCCTTGGGCTCAGATCCAGGAGTACACTTAACTCCTCAGGGAAACCTAACCTTGTGTTTAAAGTCTTCCCTAGCCAGCAGAGTATTTCAGATATGTTCCAGTCTGATGGATCTCAGTGGAACGTAAGAGAAGCTTAAGCGCTTTCTCTCATCAAGTGAAACTTGACTCAAGGCTTGAGTCAAGACTCATCAAGGCCACCACAAGACAGTCCCATCCAGAGTGTTCCCTCAATTCAGCATTACTGAGAATTATTCACAAAACAGTATGGAAGAAAACGCAAGGGCTGGTCACCACGTGTGGACACAGAGCACAAAAAGATGAACAGCAAAGTGCACAAACACGTGGGCTCGCACTATGCCTCCTAAACACACACAGTACCACCACTTACCATAGTCCGTGTCATCAGCAGGCCAGCTCTGTGCCGGCCAGAAATAGGGGGTCTGCAGAAAAACAAGGCTTTGGTTAGTGCACACCAGCCTTGAGCTCATGCCAAGAGGTGTGCAGCACCACCCACACTGCAGGGAGAGGAAAGTTCTCCTCTGCTGTGCTGAGCCTCAGCTCCTCAGCTGGGTGTCAGCTCGTGCGGTGGTGTGGGCCAGCTACAGCAGGAGAACCGAGGTCAGCAGCTGCCAACGTGGAATCCACTCCTGCTCTGCAATCCGCTAATATGGCCAACCTACTGCTGCCTGAGCCTTCGGACTGAGATGCTGGAGCCTGATTTGGCACCATGTGGAAACTAACTCCTCATTCCAAGTACCAACAAGGGTACCCTAATTTCTCATCGTAGTGGAAACAGCCCAACCACGAACCTTGATAACATCCCATTATTTCTGTGCTTTTTGTATATTCATTATTCAGTCTCCCCTGATCACACTCTTTTCAAACACTGATCCCATCTGCCACTTGGAGACCTAGAAGGGAACACACATTTGGAAGAACACACAGCTATTCTGAAGTTGAACAAGTACACTAATTGAGTTGAAGGAAGTACCACAGTTTCCCTGTAAACTGTAATCTGCACACAGAACTGGGAGAACTGGCTGTAGGCTTCTCTGCAGATCCCTTCCTCCTTCCTCCTGCACACTGAATGACTAGCACGGCTACACAGCATGGCCTCATGACTACAGCTCCTGGAGAACAGCCCCAACTGCTTGTTTTTAAAAACTAGTGCTGAACTCCCTCTCAATGGCTTTAGAGAAGATGCAACTCACTTGAAACCTGTACAGGCTGCCATCTGTCTTAAGGGTGAGATTTTTTGGCTCCTGAAGAGGGTAGATGTATCCATATTTGACAAACAGGTCTCCCAGGTGGAGCGCCTCTGAAAATGGAGAAGGCAAATGTTTCAGTTGCACAGAAACACTGCACTGGAATTTAAAAGTGAGCTGCTACTCAGGAGAGAAGAATTCATCTAAGAAGTTTTGTCTATGGAGATCTTAAAGTTTTACAACTCAAAGCTGAAAAAGCCTCAATTTTTACATTTCTACCCACCTTCCTCAGTGATCTGCAGGCGTTGGAGAATCCACTGCAATATATCATTACCTGTAAAGCAAAGAAAAGGTCAGGTTCTTGAAACCGGGAGTGTGCCAAAATCCTCAGGCCAAAACAAGACCTCTCCAGTCCTCACCCCTCACTGTGCTCTGGAGCTCACCAAGTGCACAGACCCCTTCTTGCAAACACGCACTGCCGGTCTCTCACTGGCCATGCTGTCGTTCAGGCTTTCTCCTGATCAAGCAGGCATCAGTGCCTGGGAGAGGGAGCCCGAGGCAGGCAGGGATGTCAGGATGGCACAGTGTGACTGTGTAGAAGTACACCTGGCCTGAGCAACACTTAAACCCTCATCATGGGCTCAGAAAGGACTTTAGCAACACAGCAGCTTCCACTGGTGGAAGGTGAAGTGACCCTTGTTTTGCACCATCTTGTCTTGAAAGGTTCACTGCAAAGTATCTTCAGATTCACAGAGCGTGGTCCTGTCTCAGTTCTAGTAAAAGACAGTGACTGGTCCTCTCGAGTCCTTCAAGGGACACGACTTTCAGTGCAGAAGGGATGTTGATGAGTCTCAGATCCAAGTTGCAGTGGTAACAGGACATATCAAAGGGAAACAAGATTTCTGCATTCACAAACACTTCATCTCTCCCAGTTCTTTTGTTGGAATGTGACCAGTCATACCCATAGTCAGCATAAACCGCCAGCAGTTTTAGTTTTATGTTCTGGGGGCAAATTTCAAGAGCCTCCTTTCGTTTAAAGAGGGCAAAAATGCACACATTCCCTGATCAATTATCAGCCTTTTCCTCCAACCCTCCCCTAGGACTGCAGATTGAGGTGCTGACCTTTCTTGACATTGCAGTGATGACTTAACTTTCTAATAGGGGCTCAGAGCTCTTATCCTACTGCCTGCTTCCTGAAATAGATGAAATTAAAGGATTATCTCATCACTCATTTCTAGACAGCTCGCTCTCTAAGCGTTTTCCCCCAAAGGTGCACATTTAACATGGAGGTTTATTTGCCTTTTCTGTTGTAAGCCATTTTCCTGGCACTGAATTTAACCAGCTAGTTTCCTGAACATGAAGAGCCAAGCTCTTTCCAGTGGATCTGTGTCCACTGCTCTAATGTCTTCACCACTCCCTCACTAGACATCAATCAGTCACTTTTGCAACACCCAGAAGCCAATCAGTACACGTGCAACTCATGCAGCACTAAAAATACCATAGTTTAGAGGTGATGACCACTACACAAGGAAACTGGAAGTCACTTGCCTATCAGAAGCTGACTACAATTTATCACTTACGCAAAAGGGAACACGTAGCAATTCTGGGTAAGGAACCAGAATAAAGCAGACAGCACGCAAAGAGGATGAGCATCAACAGGCATCTTCCCTCCATACCATCTAGCCATGGACTTTTAGGAAGTGGTATTTTACGTTGGTCAGACATCAACAGAAGTACTTGTTCCCTCTGCACTTAATCTAGTTGGCACATCATCTTCAGTACAGGGGAAATTTTTCCGCAGCCTTGCCTTAACTATTCACTAACAGCTAGGGGAGGCAAGGCCAGCTCCTTTGCAGGTGCAAAGAACTCCACCAAATTCAGCTGCAGAGCAGCCGCTGAGCAAGCCAGGGTATGGTTTGTACTGTAATGCACGGAGGGTGTTGCTAAGAACAAGCTTCAGATGTCATCCAAGTTCTCCTTACTCTTTCACTGACTACTGTACCCATGGGCGAGTGACTTCATCTCAGTGCCTCTGCTTCCTCATAAAAAAAAAAAAAAAAAAAACGGGGCAAACAAGACACAGGGCCTACTTGGCTTTGCAAATGCAGTGGGGAAAAATTAATCTATTTGGCTGAGTTGTCTCCTGAGTTGCCTGAAGCAAGCTCACTGGTTTCAGTGGGAGTTTTTGTTCTGAATTTCAAAGTGCTGCAGAAAGACCAAAGCAGGAGGAAGAAACTGTGGTACAGTATGTGCGAATATTTAGAGTGGAAGATCCCTCAAAAGAGCTTTTGTGGAGTCTTGGAGAAGAAGGAAGCGGAGGTACTGATGGTGCCCTGAGAAAGGAGCTCGCAGGCACAAAGGAGACGCGGTAAGAGCTGTGGGTAATGCCACACCAGACACAGCACAGCTCCCCGCCTGCTTCTTCTGCAGCCTGCTTGAAAGAGGAAACGCTGTCATGTAGAGGCAGAGAAGTGGGCTGAATATTTTGCTCTTTTCCTACGTATTGAGGAAAAATTATTATTATTAGCAGAAAATTATAAAAGGGAGACTAATTGTTTGTTGTTCATTTCTGAAGCACCATCTTTCAGTCTGACTCCAGTCTGCTTCTTTTAATCGGATTTTAATGTGTATCCTTATTTGTGATCCAGCCCCACCAGGACGACAACAGGTCTGGAGGCTGAAGCACGTTCACCTGTACGCTAAGAGAAAGCAAGGTCACTTGAGTTAAACTCACGTGAGACACCAAAAACTGCATGATTAGCAATGTTTGTGTCTCTGATTCAAAGAGCTAGGAGTGAAATGAGACACAAGTGAGAAGGAGATAAAGGGAGCAGTATATCTCAAAGGATGTATGGCAAACATTTATTGGGAACACAAGCTCCAGAACATGCCCAGGCAGCAGTAACCCTGAGGTGGCCATGGGGTCCACACAAAGCTTTTATTTGATTAACTCCCTTGGCCCCATCCCTTCCCACAGTGAAGCTTTTACCTGTCACAGCATGTGGGATGTTCGTGATCATCACCCTTTGTGTCTGTGTCTTGATGCCCGTGTCTGGATTCTGCATCTCCATCATAAGCGCTTCGATCTGCAAAGCATGGTGGGGATGGGATATATTACAGGAATGGACAGGAGGGACCCCCAGCACCACTGCAGCTCTGGGCAGCGTCCCAGAGGGGCGTACAATGGCTTGCCATAGGAATGGATGCAACAGCCACAGTCCTCTCCGAACCTCCCCTTGCCATTAGAGATGCCACGTTCAAACCATGTCAGCTCTCACACTGACTCACACTGTCACTCCCTCCTACAGAAAACACATGCACAGCTGGGGTTAGCAGACAAGGAACAGGATGTAACCACTCCATGAGAGCTAAGCTGAAAAAAAATAATAATTTAAAAAAAAAAAAATCTCTGCTACCCATAAATGTTTTTCTCTGGCTCAGTGGGCTATTTGCTAGGGCAATCAGAAAGGAAAAAAGGAGGAGGAAATAAAATCTGTGCTTCTATTGCACAAATACCCCAGCTGTGCACAGACTTGTAAATATTGCACCATGCACCAAGACAATAAGCAATATATTAGCTGGAGACCAAACAGCAAAGGTTCTGTTTCTGGACTGCAGATAATAACCAGACAGGACTTTAGAAGAGCAACAGGAAAAGCACACCGCTTTGCTTTGGGGCTGAGCAAGAAGCGAAAACCCAGGGGAGATGAGGACAGCCCGTCCTTTGAGAAAGCACAGCCACCACTTGAGCCAAGGCTTTGAAAAGCTGGCCAAGGATTGATTACAGCAGGGACCAGAACTTCCATCTGGGAAAGCAGACTGCAAACACAGAAACAGAGCCCAGCTCATAGGAAGGAGGTGTACAAGGGACAACCTGACTGTTCCTGTGGATGGCTGCACCCACCCACCTGGGGTCTTAGCCCAGTCTGTGGGCAGCAAAGTGCCCCCAGGGATGGGGCAGAGAAACAGCATCCCGAGCAACTCACCCTCCTATCTGGCAGCATCTCCTGCCTTGGATTCCTGAGGGATGCTCATGACTCGTTTATAGACTCACTGCCTAAATTTTTAACAGATCATGTTACAGAGGATGAGTCTCACCCTCAGGGCCAGACTTCTTTTATTTCTGGTTCCCAATTATCTTTTTTTTTAAAGACGAAAATTTTCAAAGGTATTTTCCTCCTTTTATATCCGACTTCCTCCTAGCACTGTCCCAAAAGCACAACAGCCTTTTGCTTGCACTTGGGATCCTCCCAAAAGCACAACAGCCTTCTGCGTTTCACATTATCTGAGTGCCGTGAGAGCATCGGCTTTGTGGAAGATGCTCTTCTTTTTGTCTTCTGCTTCCAGAGATATTAAATCAACTCTGGTCCAACAGGACCAATTTGGTCTCTCCGCACGTTCATTTTGGACGAGGCTGTAGCTTTTTAACTAGGATTAGAGGATTTAAGGAGTGTGACTTGATGACACTCACACATAATGAAGGGTATTGTCTCCACAGGCACCACAGCGACTTTGGTCCCAAGCCTTGCCAAGTTCAGTGAGGATTTAAGTCTGTAGTGACAGGATGCACTCTGAGCTTGGCAGTAAAAATGGATTTTCAACTGTTTTTAAAGCCAGTGTCAAATTAATACTAAAACAACGAAGCCTCGTAAAATTTCACACAAATATTTGCATAAATACTTCTATAAAATATTTTAAAATAGCAAAACCAGACCCAAAGTAATGGAATACGAAGACTTTTTTGGGCCTTTTAACTGCACCTCCGATATCACCACCAGCAAGTTCAAGGCTGGGTGTGGAGAGATGCCCATGTAGCTGTGCGAGACGAGGCGAGGCTGGGCAGTCCAGCAGGCAGGGCACTGATTTAGGAAACTCAGATTCAGTTCCTTCTGAGCAAACACGAGTACCTTGGGGAAGCCACTTACTCTCTCCGCAGACAGCACCTCGTCAGCACACGGGGATACCGGGGGTAAACCCAGCGCTGCTCATCACCATACCGCAGCGCTGGTCCCACTGGGCTCCAGCACGACTTGTTCCCTGCAAGCAGTGCAGCACACCCTGCCCCAGCACGGGGCTGCCGTTCGCTCCCCGGTGGGCTGGAGAGACAGGTCTTTACCAGCCAAGACGGAGGAATTGGCTCAGAAACCCACGCAGCCTCCCAGCACAGCGTGTTCCCTTTCTTCAACGAGCAAAGAGCTCCAGACTCTTGTCACGTTCGTATCCCGCCGCGCTCCCTCTTGTCATTGCAGAAATAACATATATTAGAAAGAAACAAGTGAGACGAGGCAGGGAGCTGGTGTTGGGGGGTGCCTGCTGCTCTGGCTGCAAACCACGCGCTGTGCGGATCGAAACTCAGCCTGTCTCTTCCTCTGCTCCCACGGGAATGCTCTGCCCATTACGGGCTGCTGGTCGCTATCATCACCAGCCTGCCAGCGTAGAGGGCTGGTCAAAATACAGTGGGAACGTTTGCTTGCTTTGCTAAGGGCTCTAACACATTTTGTCATGCTTTCGGCCAGGGAAGCTCTGTCGGGTTTGAATTTTTTAGAGCCAGAAGCCACTTCCTGACACCGGCTGACGGGCGGAAGCACACAAAGAGGTAAATATCAGCAGCAGGACCACTGCAGGAGCCAGGCTCTGGGGTGAGCTCACCTCAAAAGCAGAGCCACCACGAGGCACGAGCCCCACTGAGGTCTCCCTTCAGATCAACTGGAATTTCTGCATGGAGGTGGCCTCACCCTGAAAGCCACAGAAGAGACAACAGGAAAACTGTCTGCCCTCCCATGTGATTGCAAGCAGTCACTGGGTTCAACGAGTGCAAAGCAAAACTTGAAGTGGCAAATGGTAAGAAAAAGCATCCCTGCACTTCAGGAGCACGTGGGGAGCCCCGGGGAGGGTCAGGGTCCTCTCTGTAAATGCTCAGTGATTGATGGGGTCCCCACAGTTCTGGAGAAGGGGGATGGATCCAGCACAGATGCTCTCCCATGGGAGCTAGCAGTGGGGGCAGATAACTGCTGATGGACTGCTTGGGTGAGTTACTCCAGATGCATTTCCCATCCTTGTTTCTCTGAGCTTTACCCTTTGGGCACCCACCAACTCCCCGGGGCAGGGCATCCACACCACAGAAGCTCAGGCTCCAGGTACTGAGACTGATGTGCAACAGCAAAACACTTCTGAGGCGAGGAGTTCAGACCCTCAGCATCAACCCAGACAAAGGTATCTTTGCTTCAGATGTAAAAGACAAATTTTCCTAGCAGGCTCCATCTCACAGCCCAGAGCCCACTCCTGGTGCTATAATCAATGCTATAATCAAACATCTGCCACTTTCTCCATCCTGAGTATTTGCCTGGTTCCAGCCCTCCTTCACTGCCTGGTACTGTTGTGAAGATCATCCCTCCTTCTTCTGATTTCCAAGGTAGCAATACAGTCCTCCATCACAACTCCGGCCTCAGAAAGCTAATTCAATTGTTTTCTAGGTCTACAACAATCCTGCTTTGCACATTCATGGATGATCAGAAAAAAAAAAAAAGAAATGAAAAAAAGAATCATTTATTAACCACCTAAAACTTCCTCCTTTTTTCTTAATTAAAGCTGAGAGGAGGAGGCCTGTTCCCACACGGTGCACAGTGATCTCACATCCAAAGGGAGCAAATCTGTGAACAAGGAGGGCAGGGCTGTAGCTGGCTCTTTCCACATGCTCCCTCTTCCCTCCCTGTGCTGCCGTCACCTCTCCAGCCAAGCCTCCTACTTAAACCCAGCACAGCAACGAAACCAAACCGAAGCCCAGTCCCGCCTGGCCGAGCACACCATCTCACCGGGACTGCTCGGAGCACGTCACGCTCAGGGCAATGCTCCACAGAAACACGTAGCACCAGCATCTTCCCACCTGGGACAGGGAAAAGGAGGATGGGATGAGGCTGAGCTCAGCCTAAGGCTCAGCTTCAGCCATGTCCAGGGCCTGACTTAAACAGAGAGCAGGAGTCCAATGGATAGTTCCTTCCAGTGAAAACACGACTCAGATGCTCACACACCTCGAGAAACGTCCAGGCAGAGGAGGGCCAGCAGTGGCTAGAGAGTCTAAGCCCAGATAGTCGAAGCCAGGCTGGAGAAGCCCCCACCCATGCTGCAGACCCCAGGCTGGTCCCTCCAGGTTGCAGCACTCCCAGCACATCAGGGACCAGAGTAAGGAGGAGGCAGAGGAAAAAGGCGAGCAGCATCCATCAGCCCTACCCACGAGGTATGAGTCACGATGCAGCTCATGTAGCACAGCAAGGAAAAATACGCAGCCCAGCAGCCGCTGGAGAGCACAACCCTGCCCAGCGCTGCCTCCTGCTTTGCCAGCTGATGCCCAACGGAGGTCAGATCCTGACTGCTGGGGCAGGCACAGGCAGCAAGGGCTTGGGCTGATTCAAGGTCTCCCAGCATCTGGCCAACCACATATTCCCAAAATGTATTTCAGAGGCCACCTCCCTGTCCCAACAGACTTTTGCATCAGTATTCTTCCTACCAAGACAGTTCAGGAGGGGAAAAAATAGAATAAAACAACCTAAGCATTAGTCATGGGCATTTCATGGACTAGCAGGCATTGCAGAGCCTTGGAGGGGGCTCTCCAATTCCCACATGGTTCGGCCATGAAGACCAAGCTCTACATCCAGCTCAAGTCATGCAGAGCAACCTCACAGCACTGCTCACCGCTCCCAAAGCAAACTCCTTTCCTTTCCCCCCATCCGATGGCAGGGTTGCTGTGGTCACAAGCTGCCTGCTGGAGAACCAGCACCTGGAGACACGTCACAGCTGCAAAGGTGCAACAGGCCCAGCAGCCTGACGGCACGGCAGGAATCCCTCCGTGCGGCTAAAGCAAAGGCACCGTTACAGCGTATGTGCCAGCTGGTGGCAAAGCTTGAGCACAGACTTAAGTAAATGAGAAAGTTTCTCTCTAGGGTTTTGGCTCCTCACAGACCTAAGTCTGCAAGGTGCTTGCTGGATGCGTCCCGAGCATCCTCAGCTCCCACCAGAGGCAACGAGTAAAGGTGCTCAGTATTTCAGGGGAGCTCTGAGGACACAGCCACTGGTATACAGACCACAACGCCATATAACAGCCGAGGCTCCATCCATGCCTTCCCCGAGGTCTGAAAAAAACAGAGGAGGAAGGAAAGCAG